AGAGGGTTGTGGTGAATGGGGTGAAACCCAGTTGGCGGTGGGTCACAAGTGGTGTTCCCCAGGGCTCAGTGTTGGGCCCTGTTCTGTTTAATATCTTTATCAATGATTTGGATGAGGGGATTGAGTGCATCCTCAGCAAGTTTGCAGACAACACCAAGTTGGGAGGCAGGGTCGATCTGCTTGAGGGTAGGGAGGCTCTACAAAGAGATCTGGACAGGCTGGATCGATGGGCTGAGGCCAATCGTATGAAGTTCAACAAGGCCAAGTGCCGGGTCCTGCACCTCGGTCACGGCAACCCCATGCAGCGCTACAGGCTTGGGGAAGAGCGGCTGGAAAGCTGCCTGGCAGAGAAAGACCTGGGGGTGCTGGTTGACAGCCGGCTAAATATGAGCCAGCAGTGTGCCCAGGTGGCCAAGAAGGCCAACGGCATCCTGGCCTGTATCAGAAATAGCGTGGCCAGCAGGAGCAGGGAGGTGATTGTTCCCCTGTACTCAGCACTGGTGAGGTCGCACCTTGAGTCCTGTGTTCAGTTTTGGGCCCCTCACTACAAGAAAGACATTGAGTTGCTGGAGCATGTCCAGAGAAGGGCAACCAAGCTGGTGAGGGGCCTGGAGCACAAGTCCTGTGAGGAACGGCTGAGGGAACTGGGGCTGTTTAGTCTAGAAAAGAGGAGGCTGAGGGGAGACCTTATCGCTCTCTACAACTACCTGGAAGGGGGTTGTAGTGAGGTGGGTGTTGGTTTCTTCTGTCAGGTGGCTGGAGATAGGACAAGAGGAAATGGCCTCAAGTTGAGGCAAGGGAGATTTAGGTTAGATATTAGGAAAAATTTTTTTACTGAGAGGGTTGTCAAACATTGGCATGGGCTGTCCAGGGAAGTGGTTGAGTCACCATCCCTGGAGGTATTCAAAAAGTGAGTGGACGGGGTACTTCAGGACGTGGTTTAGTAGGCATGGTTAATGGTTGGACTCGATGATCTTGAAAGTCTTTTCCAACCTAAATGATTCTATACTGAATAGGTAGTTTTCATGCCTTTGCTTTTCAATTGGCATAGACAAGTCCAGACTGCCACAAGACTCCCTCTGGTTCTAGCTGTATTTGAATGAAGATTAGAATGAAAACCATTGAACTTAGAGTAGATGAAATGAACTGAAGGCCTAATAGAAATCCAAAAGAAGCAACAGGATCTGTTCAAAACTGCATCTAATTTTAATATTCTTTGAAAGACAGCTTTGATAGTTAAGACTTCACTGAAACAGTTTTATTTTGTTAAATATAAGAGTTAAAAGAGTAACCAAAGTATGAACACATGCAAAAAATCAATTAAAAAAATCAAATAAAAGTCAATATTCTTGGATCATTTATAGGCTATAGTACTGCTTCTGCCTTCTAAGGTGTCAGTACAAACCACTTCAGTTAGGCCCAGGTAAGCCCCTCTGGGGAAACAATCAGATCTGTCTTCTCATTGTGGAGAAATCACTCTAATAATGTTTTTGCTTCCTGCTTCAAAATTAGTGGTCTGCTGGATCAGTCAGTGGAAGTGACTCATCCTGAAACCCCATGACTTTTGAGCATAATGCAAGGTAAACTGTGCCAGAGTGTGGGAAAGGATGGGGGAAAAAACACAACTCTTCTTCACACCTTTGTCCAATTTTTGAGGTTCGGCTTAAAGTCACCTCACAACAGGTTTCAGCTAGAATGAAACAATCTATCCAGACTGAAATAAAAGCACCTACTCTGACATATGTTCACCTGTAATTCAGTTTACTAAACCACCAGCATTTACTTAAAAAACCCACACTATTTTCCTGTACGCACAGCCATACGGACATGTAAATACGTACACCAGTACATATTTATACTGATATTGATATGGCCCAGTTTGGAAATTGATTGCATTCTTTTCTGCAATGAGACAGGTGAACCAAAGCCTTTCAACTTATCGACAGGCTCTTCCAGTACCTGAATGGCTGCACTGCGATCCTGAGCAGCTTCAAGTTCTTTATTTTTCTCATTCAGTGACTTCAACTGTTCATCTGTTGGATAAAAAGAAATAGTAGTGAGGGACCTCCACTGTAACATAATGACAGAATTCACTCTCCAGATGCAATTAAGCCAAAACTTCCCTTAACAACATAAGAAAAAAATAGAATTCAAGACTTTGCTGTGGATGGACTAGGTAGTATTGTGGCAAACTAATGCAATGCTCAGAGTAGAGGCATTTATTGTGAAGATCAATACGTAACCCACTGTACTACTATTACTACAAAAATCAGAAACCAAGGTTGTTTCTTTTTTCCATTAGAACAAAAGTTCCATTTAAAAAAAGCCGATTTGAACACAAAAGCAAAACATCTCTCTACTTGCAGAAACAACAAATGTAGTCGATAGATGGATTTTGAACTCCTATTTAAAACTTAAAGCATTTCAGCATACCATTAGACTAAGGAATTAATATCCTGTCCAATCTTCAGAATGTGCAGTCATACTTACTAAGTTTTTTAAGCTCCTCACGGAGAGTTTGACATTCTTGTGTCTCATTTACAAGT